CTTCGGCAATATACAGAGTCGGTAATTGACCGTCTCCCGGGTTCAGTCACTACATCCAAACGGGAGCTGGCCTGGCTTCCTCAGTCTCAGGGAGCTTCTGACAAGTGAAGAGGAGGCAGCGATCGGTTGAACTAAACTTTGATTTATGAAAGAAAAAATTCATCAGAATTCATCGACACACCCTATTAACCTCTGATTGTTTAAAATACTACTAAATAAGATAGAATTCTACAGGATGATGAGGGTTCTGGAGCGGAGGAAGGGGAAAAAAAATAAGTCTGTCTGATCCCCCCCGTTTTCCCACGTCCACTCCAGGACGCAGGGAGGCTCAGCGCTGCCACCTGGCGGCGGCTCCTTCGCAGGTTGGGAGCTCGATGGTGGCAGAGCAAACTCTGGCTCCCCCTGGGTGCGGCTGGCCTGGGCCTTTCGAAATGGAGCAGAAGCTCCTATTCGTGCTTCTAATCTACGTGGCCCAGACAAACATTCGTTTTCAAAAAATTGAGAGGAAAGGAAAATGAGTTGGCATTGGTATGAAGTGCTTATTTAAGCTTATCAGGTGCTAGTAGTTGGTTAGAAGGGGAGAGAAAATGGTAAAATTTAGAAATGTGGGGTTCTTATCTCAATTTATTCTCAGTGTAAAAATATATCATGGATTTCATTTTACTCCAGGATACTATTTTGATATTTTTCAAATAAGAAATACTTCCATATTATTTTTATTACTTTTTTTCAATGCAACCTGCCAAAAGGAAGTCCAGTTCCCAACACTTCATCAGCCCAAAAGGATGAAGTGTGAGTTATGTTTGACTACTTGACTGAGAAGACAGCCTCAGATGGAGGGTTCTTTTCCAGAAAAATGTCGAACAGAAAAGCCTGGGGCCTTTCAGTTGACAAAGGCCAATGACATCAAATTTCCCAGGGCTTCTTCCCTGTCTGCTAAAATAACAAAGACAGGGGTTTTTTTTTTTTTCCCCCTTCTTTATTTTTATTTGAACTGAATACTTGTCAGGTCAGCCTAGCTCTTACAATCATAGTTTCTATAACCAAGGCAAGGCAAAATCTTGCAAACCAGTCCAAATCCAGATTTGTTAAACTAATCTCCCTTCAGGTTTTTTCCTCTCTATGCTATAGGAATATATTAAGCAGTGGGATAGAATCTTATTTCCATCTATACCCCATACAATTTTATGGATGTGAGATTTTATGTTGCGCAGGTGTGTGAGAGCATTAGAAATGAATTAGCAGGCCTCAAATAGAATTCCATTATTTAATGGAAAATGAGATAAAATATTTCCCTTCATTCAAAATTTGAAATGTCTAACCTTGTTGCTGACCAAGACAATTAATCTGTTATTTTAAAAGATTTTTTTTTGCAAAATTATCTTGTTTTATTGTTAAAATGGCTTAAAGAGTGGCATTATTAAGAATTACTTCATGTACTGCAAAGCCAGCAGAGGGAACACTGAGTACTGATTTAGTAGGGGCCACCAAATATCTGGTATTTGGGGAAAAAATATCAGTAATGGAGACCTGATTATAAAGCACATGAAGTAAAGTAATGAGAACACAGCAATCTTTTCTCATTATTTGCTATTCAGAGGCCTAACACATTCCAGTGTGCACCTACTCAGTTGGTGAGAAAGATGACTTTAATAAAAGGCTGTTTGTCACATGTTTTCTTACCTTTTAAGAGAACTACTAACATAAGAACAAACCTACTTCAGAAGTCTTACTAATACTATATTTCTTCAATTCAAACAACTTTTTCATTTTCAACACCTCTGAAATAGGGCTATGTCCTACAACTGGGGGATGTCACAGTGTAATCAGCAGTTTTTCTTCCTTAGTAGCATGTAACACTGGTGTTTCTTAAAATCTACTGGATTTGTTGCAATACAGAAAATACACTGAAGAATAGAAATAGGCCAGTGGCTAATTTTTTTGGCACATACTTTTAAAAAATATGTGTGCTTTAAGCATAAACAAAATTACCATGACTGCTTTGATTAACTTTTTATATACAGTGGTAGAGCATAAATGGCTTCAGAAATATAATTATATTGATACCTTGACTGAACTGTCATAAAATAGCTACACTCTCAAGTCATTTTTTGGTACAAATTTGAAAATAAATATAGGATTTATAATTTTTTTTAATTTTAGTGACAATATGGATTTTACAAAAAACAAACCTCTTAATTTTAATGTCAGATGGGTAATATTTAGGAATGTGCTTTGGTGTGCATACCAAAGAATGTGAAATGCACAATACACCCAACTTTGTTCTATACAAAAAAAAAAAAAAGAGAGAGAGAAAAAAGGTGCCTGTGAGGTTTTTTGTTTTTAGGATTTGTTTCCCCTTCTAAAAGAAAAAGCGTATAACTTGGGTAGCTAATGGTCAAAAATTTTTTGCTTTTACCCACAAAAGCATACTTGCTTGTGGTTAATCCTTAGAGATCCACTCAGATGTCTCCAAAGGGTGTTCTTTCCAGTAAAATTCTAAATCTGACAACCTGGGCCTCTTGCCAGCCTATATACTTTAAAAGTTTGACAAGATAAATAGAAATCTGCTGCCTAGCACTAGTTTGATCTGAATTGAAAGCTGACTTAATTGTGTTAGGTTGGACCTCCCTATGACTGGCCTGTAGAGAAACAGTTTATTATTATGGTGTTAGGGAAGACCAATTTTTACTAGAATTCTAATTTTCACACCTTGGAACAAAGGTAGGTTTTGTGGTCACATTAACATGTGTTCTAAGGAGGCATCTTTTCTTTGACACGTTATTCACAATGCTCTTCACAAAGCTCCTTTTTTTAAAAATCATTGGAACAAGAGATTTGTCATTACTGTCCTTGGATGGTTCACATCCACAATCTGTGATTATTTTTTTCACATCAGTGCCATTTTTAATTCTAGTCTCTTGAACAATAGGATGCTTCTACTTGAAGGAGTGTCTCAAGCATTTGAATTATCAAGGGAAGGATAATAGCATTCACTGAGGGTTTACTATTTATCAAACTCATTGAACCCTTAAAACAACCCTATATGAAGTAGCTCCTAGTGTTCCTGTATCAGAGGAGGAAAACTGAGAATGGTCACATCCCCAGGGTTACAAAACCAGTACGAAGGACCAACAGCCAAGTTTAATATAAAACCAGAGGCTCCATTCTCTTCTGCTACTAGTCACCACCTTCTACAGTTTCTCTTTGCCTTGGCCTTTCAGTTCCTTTTATGGAGGAATACACAGGAATAAATGTATATAAGGGAAAAGAGAAGGTTTTGCGGGGGGGGGGGCGGAGAAGGACAGAGAGTGAAGTAATCTTTCATTTTGAAAATGTGGAAAACAAATATTTAGAAAGTATACAATTGATTCCCATCCTTTACTCAACGTTGTCATTCTATACAAAACTATGGACATTCTCCCATTGAATTAATTACGGAATACTGCCTAACGTGTTGCAACATAGAACTCCTTTGTTTTGGCTATCTAGGATTTATAGAGGAGTTTAAATCATTAAAAAACAAAAAAACAAAAAACCTGTTTGGTTAAGAAAGTAATTATTGCAAAATTTCCTCTTTTCTGCCTTCTACAAAAATTGCTCTGAAGGGAATTACACAATACATCAACATCTGTGCTGTACCTAGAGTTGTTAAAATAATTGTGATGACAGGTGTCTAGGTACCACTTTCTTAATGGTTTTCAATATCCATTGATTTATTGTTGTAGCTTCCCCCCCCCCCCCATTTTTTACATCGTTGGCTTTATGAAGGAGCCAAGGAACAGATTTTGCACTAGAGACTGAGTCTTTATTCCAATACTGAAAAGAACTAATAAAAATAATCACTTGGCTTTTAAGCAGAAAGCTTCCATTTACAGTATTTCACCCTTCCCCCCCTTCCAAGCCCCTTGTTATCTAACATAATGGTTAGAGTACATTTCCGTCTCTCCTCTTAATAATTTCATGCATTAACATCCTCTTCTCACACGCGCGCGCGAGAACGCGCGCGCGTACACACACACACACACACAGAGCAAAAGGAAAAAAGAGGCAGCAGAAATCTCAGCTGTACTTCCAGCCCTTTTAAAAAGTTTGCTCTGTAAATTGGAATGAGGTCAGATTTGGAGCTTCTCATTGCACGCGGAGATTATTATTGCATCGGGTTCCAAGCCAATGGGAAGCTCGGGGGAGGGGCTTGGCACGAGGAAGCGTTGGTTACAGCGGCTGATTGGCCGCGGCCAGGACTGTGAAAGGATAAAGAGGCGCGAGGCGGAATTGGGGTCTGCTCTAAGCTGCAGCAAGAGAAACGGTGTGTGAGGGGAAGAGGCCGGTTTCGCTCCCGGGTCTCTAGTTCTTGCACGCTCTTTTAAGAGTCTGCATTGGAGGAACTCTACCATCACCAGCTCCCTTCTTGCATAAAGGAGGGAGAAACATACATTTATTCATGCCAGTCTGTTGCATGAAGGCTTTTTGGCTTCCTACCTTGCAACAAAATAATTGCACAAACTCCTTAGTGCTGATTCCGCCCACAGAGAGAGTCTTGGAGCCAGAGTCTCTTTGCTTTGCATTGTAAGAAAGGGACTAAGTGATAGAGATGATGTCGCTTTGCTGAGCTCCTGAGAGCGCTCGTGAACTGGAATCAACTGCTTCAGGGGAAGGAGAGAGAGAGAGAAAAAAAAAGAGGACTTGCTTGGGAGGCGGCGAGAAACTTACATTGGAAGCTTCAGCAACCAGCATTCAAGAAACTCCTCTCCACTTTAGCACAGTCTCCAGACTCAGCCAGGAGACAGCAAACTGCGGCGCGGTGAGAGAAAGAAAGAGGGAGGGAGAGACTCTCCAGTCTGGGAACTATAATTCCTCTGCAAGAGGCGCAGGACTCCTTCCTCTCATCTTTTGGAGACTCACCTCTCGCCCACCCGCCCCGACCGGGAGTGGAGAGGTCTGCTCAGCCGCCGCGAGCGTCCTCCCGTTCGGCGTGCGCTCAGCCGGGGGAGCCGGGAGGGCCCGGCGATCGCGCCGCGGCCGCCGCGAGGCTGTGAGCGCGCGTGGGCGCCCGCCGAACCGGGGCCATGGTGCAGCAAACTAACAACGCCGAGAACACGGAAGCGCTGCTGGCCGGCGAGAGCTCGGACTCGGGAGCCGGCCTCGAGCTGGGCATCGCCTCGTCCCCCACGCCCGGCTCCACCGCCTCCACGGGCGGCAAGGCCGACGACCCGAGCTGGTGCAAAACGCCGAGCGGGCACATCAAGCGGCCCATGAACGCCTTCATGGTGTGGTCGCAGATCGAGCGGCGCAAGATCATGGAGCAGTCTCCGGACATGCACAACGCCGAGATCTCCAAGCGGCTGGGCAAACGCTGGAAGCTGCTCAAAGACAGCGACAAGATCCCTTTCATTCGAGAGGCGGAGCGGCTGCGCCTCAAGCACATGGCTGACTACCCTGACTACAAGTACCGGCCCAGGAAGAAGGTGAAGTCCGGCAACGCCAACGCCAGTTCTTCAGCCACCACCGCCTCCAAGCCCGGGGAAAAGGGCGACAAGGTCGGTGGCAGCAGCGGGGGAGGCCACGGGGGCGGCGGCGGGAGCAGCAACGCGGGGGGCGGAGGCGGCGGCGCGAGCAGCGGCGGCGCCAACTCCAAACCAGCGCAGAAAAAGAGCTGTGGCTCCAAGGTGGCGGGCGGCGGGGGTGGCAAGCCGCACGCCAAGCTCATCCTGACGGGCGGCGGCGGCGGGAAAGCGGCAGCCACCTCCTCCTTCGCCGCTGAGCAGGCGGGGGCTGCCGCCCTGCTGCCCCTGGGCGCCGCGGCCGCCGACCACCATTCGCTGTACAAGGCGCGGACTCCCGGCGCCGCGGCCTCCGCGGCGGCTTCGGCCCCCGCCTCTCTCGCAGCCGCGGGCAAGCCCCCAGCCGAGAAGAAGGTGAAGCGCGTTTACCTGTTCGGCGGCCTGGGCGCGGCGGCGTCGCCCGCAGGCGTGGGCGCGGCCGCCGACCCTAGCGACCCCTTAGGCCTGTACGAGGAGGGGGGCTCCGGGTGCCCGCCCGACGGGCCAAGCCTGAGCGGCCGCAGCAGCGCCGCCTCATCGCCTGCCGCGGGCGGCTCGCCCGCTGACCACCGCGGCTACCCCAGCCTGCGCGCCGCCTCGCCTGCGCCGTCCAGCGCGCCCTCGCACGCGTCCTCCTCGGCCTCGTCCCACTCTTCCTCTGCCTCGTCCTCCGCGGGCTCCTCGGCCTCCGACGACGAGTTCGAGGACGACCCACTCGACCTGAATCCCAGCTCAAACTTTGAGAGCATGTCCCTGGGCAGTTTCAGCTCGTCGTCGGCGCTGGACCGGGATCTGGACTTCTCCCTGGAGCCGGGTTCGGGCTCGCACTTCGAGTTCCCGGACTACTGCACGCCCGAGGTCAGCGAGATGATCTCGGGGGACTGGCTGGAGTCCAGCATCTCCAACCTGGTCTTCACCTACTAACGGCGCGCGATGGAGAGGAGGGCCGGGGCGACTGAGGTAGAAAAAAGTGGACAGAGAGAGTAGAAAGAGAAAAGGGGAAAAAAAGGAAAAGGAAAAAAAAAAAAGTAATGAGGTCGGCTTGCTTGCGTCGCGGTCGCAAAAGAGTGCGCGGCATTTTGGGGACCCACGCTCCCATCCCCCCATCCCCTCTGGGGGACGCGGTGGAGCCGAGGGAGACGGGCGACCTTTTTATTGTTGTTGTTGATGTTGTTGTGATGGCAAAAAAAAAAAAAAAAAGCTCTTTCGAAAGTCCTCCCCTTTGTGTGCAGAGACCCCCCCCTCCTCCCCTTAGGCTTCCGGACTGGTAGGCACCCCAGCGAGAAGCTGAGTTGGGAATTTTCTGGAGACTAAAGGAATCTCGTCCCTCTCTCTTCGCCTCTTTAGTGTTTTTATTTTTATTTTTTATTTTTGTTGTTTGGTTTCTTGATCAAGAGAGGAGGGGGGTAAAAAAATCCAGCGCGGCCCTGGGGATTTTGTCCTCAGCACCCCTCCCCCCTCCCCCAAGGAAGACACAAGGCTTGGAGAGGCGAGTTTGACCGACGGCCGATGTTTTGGGGCCGCGCAGGCTCGAGCGACCGGACTGAGAGACTCCACGCAGGCCAATGCTCGTCTTTTCCACCCCCCCCCCCTTTCTTTTCTTTTCCTTTTTTTTTTTTTCCTTGCCCCTGCAGCCGGAGTTGTGGAGTGACCCGGGATCGGAAATGACCTGAGAACCTGGTTGGAAGAAGCCACACCAGCGAGGGCGGGGGGCGGGGGCGACAAGGACGCGAACTGGAAAGGGGCGAATAACAAACTGAGACGGATTTGCACGTTGGGGAGAAGGTGGCGGCGGCTCGGGGCTCCCGCCTTCCACGTGGATTAAATCAGCGAGGGGACCTCCCGGGCCTGCGGGAGGAGAGGTGACTGTTGGATGTGGTCCCGGGCAGTGGAGGTCGAGTGGTTTCGGGGGGGGGAAAGAGGTTTTTTTCTTCTCTTAATTGGAATCGTGATGGTGTTGGATTATTTCACTGGTGGGGTTACTATAGCATGTTCTCCTGTCTATCTTTTAAAGATTTCTGTATGAGACTGTTGAGCAGTTTTTAAAATAGTGTAGGATAATATAAAAAGCAGATAGATGGCGCTCTGTTTGATTCCTACAACAAAATTATCACCAGCTTTTTTTCATTCTTAACTCTTTAAAGGATTCAAACGCAACTCAAATCTGTGCTGGACTTTAAAAAAACAATTCAGGACCAAATTTTTTCTCAGTGTGTATGTGTTTATTCCTTCTAGGTGTAAATGAGAAGACGTGTTTTTTTCCCTCACCGATGCTCCATCCTCGTATTTCTTTTTGTAAATGTAATCAGATGCCATTTTATATGTGGACGTATTTATACTGGCCAAACATTTTTTTTCCTTATTTTGTCTTTTTCTTTCTTTTTTACTTTATTATTTCTTCCTTCCTGCCTTTTATTTTTCTTTCTTTTTCCTTTTTTTCTTTTTCTTTTTTTTTTTTCTTTTTTTGGTAGTTGTTGTTACCCACGCCATTTTACGTCTCCTTCACTGAAGGGCTAGAGTTTTAACTTTTAATTTTTTATATTTAAATGTAGACTTTTGACACTTTTAAAAAACAAAAAAAGACAAGAGAGATGAAAACGTTTGATTATTTTCTCAGTGTATTTTTGTAAAAAATATATAAAGGGGGTGTTAATCGGTGTAAATCGCTGTTTGGATTTCCTGATTTTATAATAGGGCGGCTGGTTAATATCTCACAGTTTAAAAAAAATCAGCCCCTAATTTCTCCATGTTTACACTTCAATCTGCAGGCTTCTTAAAGTGACAGTATCCCTTAACCTGCCACCAGTGTCCACCCTTCCACCCCAGTCTTATGAAGGGGAGGGGAATTAGCCAAACACTGTATGCTTTTAAGAAAAACACACTTTTTTAAACATAATACTGTTCTATCCAGAGGCTTTAAAACTGGTGCATTTACAGCAAAAAGGGATCCTGTAGCTTTAATTTGTAAACCACATCTTTTTTGCACTTTTTTTATAAGCAAAAACGTGCCGTTTAAACCACTGGATCTATCTAAATGCCGATTTGAGTTCGCGACACTATGTACTGCGTTTTTCATTCTTGTATTTGACTATTTAATCCTTTCTACTTGTCGCTAAATATAATTGTTTTAGTCTTATGGCATGATGATAGCATATGTGTTCAGGTTTATAGCTGTTGTGTTTAAAGATTGAAAAAAGTGGAAAACATCTTTGTACATTTAAGTCTGTATTATAATAAGCAAAAAGATTGTGTGTATGTATGTTTAATATAACATGACAGGCACTAGGACGTCTGCCCTTTAAGGCAGTTCCGTTAAGGGTTTTTGTTTTTAAACTTTTTTTTGCCATCCATCCTGTGCAATATGCCGTGTAGAATATTTGTCTTAAAATTTAAGGCCACAAAAACAATGTTTGGGGGACAAAAAAAGAAAAATCATGCCAGCTAATCATGTCAAGTTCACTGCCTGTCAGATTGTTGATATATACCTTCTGTAAATAACTTTTTTTGAGAAGGAAATAAAATCAGCTGGAACTGAACCCTAAATCTTGACTTTTGTCATTATTATGCCTGAAGCCTGAGATTAGGAGGGCCCTGTAGTGTGTAGAAACTATACCATCTGCCTTAACATTGAAACAAGTGAGTTCTCAGAGAGGAGACTGTTAAATGCCATCTTATTGGGGAATACTAAGTTCCTCTAGGCCAAATTTGGCAGGCCCTGACCCTGAAATGATGGCATCAGTTAAATATGTGTCAACTGTATGTGCTTTCTAGGAATTTTCTAGGAGTTTACCACATTTTTAAAAAACACCCTTTGTCTTGAAATTTTAAAGGGGGGAGGGGCACTGTGGAGAGACTTGTTTAAGGATAAAACTGGCTGGCTGATCATTTTTTAACTTTTATGTTCCTAAAGCTGCTTTCTCCTTGACTTGCCCATAGTTACCATCTAACAGTGGCTACTATTGTCTTCCACAGATTTAGAACAAATAAGCCTGTTAAATTATTAATATGTTGTGGAGGAGAAAGCCATTATCAATTAAGAAATGTAAGAGTTGTATGAGTTTTTTCCTCAAAAGCAGAAAGGTTCATGTGTAGCTAAAGTCTCCCACTTTTGTTCTGTGCCCAGCGTGGTTATTAATGTAAGTGAAATGCAGCAGTAAGGATGACATGGGAGCCATGAGGACTAGGAAGAAAGCTCTTACCCTCAGAATCTGAATAGCACTCATTCAGCTAGTGAAGATGTACACTTTTTATAAGAATCAGGCCTAGCAGTATTACTGAGACGTGCCTTGGATTCCTGAAGGCCCATTTGTATTTGGTTTGGAAGCTGCAACTTGCTAAGGAGCACTATTTCTTGTTTATTTTGAGGGTTAAAAATTGCCGTTCATAAAACCCATCTTTCCAAATGTTAATTAAAAATGTGTGCTTTTTATTCTGGTTTTTCAGCACTGGCGAGGAGGGGTTAAAAGAAGTATTTGGAAATAAACCTTTAGTCATCTGGGATTGCTTGTAGGTAAGGGAGTGTCTATCCTGGAGTGCCCAGCTGGAAGAAGACATTTTTGGAGCCTGTAATCCAAAACAAGCAATTTTCTTTTGTTCAACGAAAAGCAGTAATTCCCCCATCCAAAATAATAAAATTACTGTGTTCCAATATAATTTTTTCACCTTTTAAAGATTACTGCTAGTTTCCAAATTTTTCTTTTACATATTTGCTGATATATTTAGTTTTAATTGTATTTGTGTTCTGCAGTTAAAATAATCTTGTTTTTTAAAAAGAGCTTAAAACAACCTGGTATCTTAAGTCTGTTCTTCAAAAATCTTTGCAAAAGAAGGAACAGCTCTTCTATAAAGTGCTTAAATTTAATTATGTCCATTTTATTAATGATACTTTGAATTTTAGTTTTTTCAGATCCTAAATATCAAAACTTTGACATAAATAAGCTTATATGATGCATTCTTTAGGTGTATTTTATTTTGTAAAATTCTCTTGTTTATTCTCCCTTGATTTTCCATGTAAGGGCAGATGCTTTAAGTATTTTCTTTAAGAATTTCTGATAATGTTGCTTTAAAAATAAAAGCTTAAATGTGTGTGTCTGTCCTACCAGGTGACAGAGTCATTTTCATACTTTTTTTCCTCTGAATCAATTTACACTCATAAGAGATACTCACATGTCAGGTGAGAGAAGGCATAATAAAGCTGGGAAACCAAACAGTTTAGTATGAGTTTTTCTTTCAGATAATTTGGATCAATAAAAAAATAAATTTTAGATTTTCTTTTAAGAATGTCAAGCCATTTTTCTTTAAAGACACTTCTGGCCCTGTGAGCCCTCAGAAATGTGAATCAGTAATGCTTAAGGTTTCTCAGTTTCTAAATGAATACCTGTAAGTGCCAAGAAAAAAAATAAAGAACATGTAAGCTGATGTGGTGGGCTGTGTGCCTAAACAGACTTCCTGGATTTGTACTCACTGCTCTGGAGGGACTGGGGCATTTAAAGGATTCTGAAGAAAATGAGAAAGCAAAGGGCTAGGGAGGGGATATCAGCATTTGTTAGGTACTGTGTTTCCTGTGTTTACAGAGTTCATGCATTCATTCAAAAACGTGATTTGGGTAATGCCACAGGTCAGAATAGTTAATCATAAATTTAAAATAATTAAGCATCCCAATGGGGTATTTGGACAGGTCTATATGTCAAAAAAAAAAAAAAAAAAAAAAAGCTAAGAATTGCTGGGAATGCAAATCTGTCTTACCTATTTGGATTTCTTAAGGTGGAATAGTTTATTTTTCTCTGGTGGCTTTATTTTTAGGCCCTTTTAGCTCCTTTGAGGTCTATATAATTCCTTGCTAACCCATATTTACTAATGTTTGTTTACCTGTACCTCTCTGATTCATTCTGGAATATTATTTCCACATATATTTCTGTATCTCCACTCAGCTATCATTTGAAAGCTGAAGTGGAGAGGGACTGGAGAAGTACTTCCAGGCATCTGGGTGGAGTCAGACTGCTAAAAATCTACCAAATTCCCTATCACACGAAATTCACGTGCTGCCTTCCTGTCAAAGCCCCACACACAGTGATTTTAGCCCATCTTTCCAGTTCTCCAAAATTCAATGTAGCCAAACTGGTCTCTCTCAGACTGGAATTCTTAGAGAACAGGAACTAGGCCTTAAATGCTTACATGTTTCCCCAAAGTGGCCTTCCCTATTTCCTTGCATATAATTAATGTTTTTCATATTTGTTGACTTTATATTTACATTGCTTCAAAGGCACCTTAAGAGCTTCCAAAATGCTTTTGCTTGTTAAACTGCTGGTAAGCGGGAACCCCAGATTTTGTGGAAAGTGACTCAGGCCAACTAGCTGTGACAGACGTTGGTCAAATTTCTTGTCTCTTTAAGCCACAGTGTTTTTAAACCTAAGTAGAATGCTTTCTAACATATAAAGCTATTGTGAGAAACAATAAAAAATAAAGTGAAATTACACATGGAGAATACTCGGCCCCATGCCTAACCTACTGCATGCGCTCATGAACTGCTAGTTTCTTACCTCATGGATTGTTGCAAAAGGTAACGCATGTCGGAGTTGAGCACAGTGGAAGCAACATAAAAGATAACTCAGTTCTGAACAGCAAGTCCCTGGAATCTGTGTCTCCTAGTCTGCGGCATGAACTCTTTCATCA